TCTGGGGTGAAGACCAGAGATATGAGAAAGGTTAGAACTTAAACAAATGTTTGCAGGACTGAACATCAACAAGGCTGGAAGGTAACTACTGGACCTTGATGTAAACCTTGAGGTAAATCACAACCTTTTCTTTATGTTATTATTCATGGCTCTTGATTTCTGTTCCCCTTTGAGCAAATGCTATCTGCTCAGATAAGAAAGCAAGGACAAATATGACAAGCAAAGCAAGGATGGGTGCATCTTATGCTGTTTAATGGACTAACACTTAATGAAATTTTCCTTCTCCTGTTACCAGTAACATCTATCTAGGGACCCAGACTTTTTTACCATGCTTGGAGCTTTGCAAAAGTGTGCCTGAACTTTTCTGGAAGTTGTCAAATGAACCCTCCCTTCAGGACACCAGGCCAGCCCCACCTGCTGTAATAAGCCAGCTCATCAATATATTTGCTTTCAAATTGCCTCAGAACAATTTCCTGACCCTCGTGGCTTTCCAACAGAGACCATCATGGGATGTTATGGAGAAGGGTGCTGGTGCTGTGGACATCTTTTATGAGGGAGGGTGCACTCAGGGTTACTGCCAAACAACCAGATCTCCAGCCCCTTAGGAGAAAGAAAACTGAGATGCCATTCCTGAATTTTCGTGCTTAACAATCATGATCTAATTCTAAATGAGAAAGCTGAAATGTGATTCCTGCGGTGTTTTCCAGAAGTATTAATGCGGACTAACGGGGGTGTGGCGGGTTCTGCTTTTGGAAAATGCAGTGAGTGTGCCAATCACTGTGGACTTTGGCAGTCATTATGTTAGAAGCCGCCCCATGTACTGATGCCAAACTCACCCCACCATACTAAAGGGAGCTGGGATAAGTGCAAAATGTGGTTGAGACAAACAGACGTAACTGCATCAGACATGAAAAGAGATGTATTTAAAATTCAAAGGGTGATAAAATGTGCACACACATAGCAGCTTAGCCAGGTTACTGCTACCACTGTCATGACGAATGGTAGGCTTTGGTTCCCCTTTGCAGCTGGGGAGTAGTCATCTTTGTAAAAGCACATAGGAAAGAATGGAAAATTCTGAGGTTGTTCAGTAAGACATGCAACCTTCCTGTTCTCCCTCTAAGGCTTAATTCCAGGTCACGCTCACATTTAAGGTCTTTCCCATCTCGAAGCTGTCCCGAAGGGCCTTAGCTATCAAGGCACACGATGGCCCCTTAGGCCCTCCGTGGCTGGGATGGGCACCACAGCACTGTGGGCTGTCAACACCAGCTGGGACTTTTCACCTTCTCTGCTGGCTGCTGAAACACTTCCCCAGAAGCAAAGTACAGGGCTGAGGGGGGTCTCTCACACAGCAACAGGTAGATGGGAAATGTGGTTACAACTGAGAAATGTCAACATGAGTTTTTCTGTTGACTCTTCTATGCTGACCCCCTAATACCCCTAGCCTGCTACCAGGGGTCTGGTAGAGTACAGCAGTTGCCAGCAAAGGCACAGCCAGTGAGCTTTCGGATGTGCTGGATCACACAAGCAGAGTTGAAGGCCCGGGCCCCCCGGACCGTGCTGTCACCCACACCAAACCACTCTCAGAGGGCCCTGGGAACTTCTGAATTGTCTCAGGCTTCCTTCCTGCCATCCTTCCTATTTACTCATGTGCTCACTCACTCATCATCCTGAGTCTATGTTCCAGACACTTGGTATGTGTGCATGACTAATAATCAAGAGCAGACAAATCATGACATCACTGCATATTTTGGTAAGTGCTCCAAAGGACCTTGAACTGGGTGAAGCTACTGGGGAAGGGTGAAGCAGAAAGGTCTCCCTGAAGGGTGGGCTTTCGGCCAAGACCACAAAGGATGGGGAGGATTCATGCATGCAGGATGGGGGGCAGGGCACATCAGACAGAAGGACAGAGGTGCAAAGGCTCAGGGGTGGGAGGCGGTTCTGACAGGCTCCACAGCGGGGAGGCACCACGTGTCAAGGGAAAACTGATGCTAAAGAGGCAGGTATGGAGAGCTTGTAGTCTGGGGAGAGTGAATATTATTGTAAGTGCAATGGGAAGCTACTTGAGGGATTTAAGTGGGGAAGATATGATGTGAATTATATTAGACGATGTGTGAAAAATAGATTGAACAAGAATCAAAGTGGAAAGGGAGGGACTGTATATGGCAGAAACTGCACAAGGCTTCCCAGCAGCCCTCCTCCCCTCCTTCCTTCCTATGAAAGCTCCAATTTTATTCTGGGAGCAACGGGCCCACCCCAAAAAAGGATATTTCCTGCTTTCCTGGTAGCTAGGCATGGACACGTGTAATAATTCCACACGAGACGTAAACGGAAGTCTGTTGAGGATCTTTGGGCAAGTTTTGCTTTCTTGCTCTAAAGGCACAACCCTGTCCTCTGCTTTTTCCCTTACATGATTCGAGCGTGTCAACAAAATGATGTGATGGCAGGAGCAAGAGCAGTCGTTTTCGACCGTCACCTAGGAAAAGCTAATAGCCTCACAGACACCTCAGGCCTGACAGCCCCACACCCCTGAACCTGTGCCAATAAATACCTACAGCCAGATTTTACCAGGTATGAAAAGAAAAAACCTCACTTTTTTAAGACACAGTTGGGTGGGGTTTTCTGTTACTCACAGGTGGACACCAGGCCTAACGGACGCACCAGGCCATTGCCATAGTTCAGGCAGCCTGCACTTGAATGCTGGCAGTTAAAATGAAGAAAAGTGGGTCATTTTTGAATGCTGATGCAATGGGATTTCCTGATGGCCTGAATACGGGCTTTGGAGGAGGGAGATGATGAGGGTAAAGATTACTTGTAGGATTTGGGTCTGAGAATTCCTTAAAATAGGAAGGAAAAACCTAAAAAGGAATGGGTTTGAAAATTAAAAGCAAGAATTCCATTTTTGATATTTCACAGTGGAGATGCCAAAGAGGTATCTAGAACAGGAGTCTCCACTCCTAGGTTTCCACGAGGTGGACTTCCCTCCAACCTTCCCGGTCCTACTCATGCCCTCCACTCCCTCCTTCCTAGGGAAGGAGCCACCAGCCCACCTGCACCCCTCCTCATTCCCCCCTGCTCCTCCCCTCACTGTGCAGCGGGGTCAAGGGCTTCAGGGCTGCCTGTGGCCAGATGCTCCCCCTGGAGGCCGCGCAGTAGAAAGCCCATTGTTACAGCCGACCTCAACCTCACGTTCCAGTTCAGCCTTTATCAGTAATCAAATGCTGATGTTTGGATCCTGCCACGTGCCAGACTTCTTCATCTCTCTCTCTTGTGGTTTGAAACCGAGGCCAGCTCAGCCCCACATCATGTCAGGCACGTTGCATTCTCTCAGCCACAAGAGCTGGGCCTCTTTTTAACAGGTGCTCCTCTCAAGGGATATGGCCAAAGGACACCGAATTTCTCCCCTATTCTAATGCGTGGCTGTCTTTCTACCTTCATTGTTAGGGTCAAGGGTTGAGTCTTCCCTGCCAGGTGGGGCTGTGAAGTCACAGGAGTGAAAATGTTTTTAAATTGATGCTAGTGAGCAAAAGTTACCCAGTAATATCCCAGCGTTCATGCACTTGGCAGGGACTGTATCATTAGAGTTGAGTGGCCTTTCCCTCTCTTCCTTTTCTCCATTACCAAGCCATCCTTACCTCCCCTCCACCCACTAATCCATTCCGTGCTTCCCTCCTTTTAAAGGCGGAATCAATATTGGTGTTCTTTACCCTATCCCTAGTAACCCTAACCTCAGAACTGCTGGGTGTACATGGGCCAGGGAAGGGCCATTCCTCATGACTGGGCATCAAGGGAAAGTGGTCTGATAATGGTCTGATGAGACAGCACTTCTGTTTTTCCTATTCCTTTTCTATAAAGACAGGTGCCCAGGTTGGTCTCCTACTGGATATTTGGCCACTTACCAGAGTTCATGTTTGCGCATTTCTTATATATCTTATGCTGTTGCAAAAAATGGTCTTCTTACAACAAAGTCATATAAAACACCTTTCCACTTGAGAGCCTGGTTTTTCATGTCCCTCTCTCTTCCCATCCTAACAGATAGATCCATCATCCCTTGGGTTTACACTGATGAAAGAGGCGATCGACATTTTGGCACACTGTATCATTGAAAAAATCCCTCATTCTCAGAATGAATATGTAAATCTCATACGTCACCATCCCACGTGGCACCCTGCACCTGGTACCGAATGGAGTGGGGCATTGTTACACTGTCATTCGATGGCTTTTACCAACAACAGGAACATCAGCAACCGCAATGCATTATGCCACTGTGACGTTAACTACAGACACGGAGTGCCTGGAAAGAAAATATATGCCCTTTTTTTGAATAGAGCCCTGGGTAATTACCCTGACTATTGTTCTATGAGAGAGCCTATTTACACCCCTTCATCAATTTAGGGTCTGGACATGAAAAATCGCCAGCATTAAGCAATTAAGGCAATTTGCTTTCCAGATGAAGAAAGGACAAAAAAATAATACTGTAGAAAAACCTGGACTTCTGAGTTGCCCATGATGACAGCCAAAGCTCACCTCAAATAAAGGATCCTGAGGAGGAGTTTTTCTGATGGTGCCTTCATCCTAAACAGAGCTCAAGGACAATGTGCTCGGGGTCTGCTTCCTACTGTTGGCACTAGGAGGACATGCAGGTCACGTCCTGCATGGTAAAGGGCAGCCACCCCACAGGTGCCCTGCAAGTGCGGTGTGACCTGTGGTGGGTCCAGCAGGCACAGAAGCATTTGGCTGCCCTGCCCCAGTGGCCGGGTTTGGTGTTCTGAGGAAAAGCTACAGAAACGTTGCTCACCTTGAGAAGTAAGCTCTCAGGGCAGGGTCCGTGTTCCTCCAAGTTGCCACAGAACATGAAATAGGTAATGAGGTTTGCCATTCAATATGGAGTAAAATGGGAAATTACTGAACTACTTACCCCCAAATGAAAACAAAAATTAAATGAATGCAAAAGAAAAGGCAAAATCACAACAAAAACAGATGGCCCCCAAAATTTTACTTACATTGAGTGAGGATTCCAGTTAAGGCATTTTTAAAATTCTCCTTGGCCTCTTCCATCTCCTGTTCGTGGGTGGCTTTTTCATTCATCAGCCGGCGGACGTGGCTATTGGCTGACTGCACCATGGAATAGAATTGGTTTGCGGAACGCCGATTCACCTCCCCTCGTTCGATCCAGGAAAGGAGCACTGTGATAGCCTCTGAAAACTTGCTATCATCTGGAAATGGAAAACCACCAAGTACAAATCATGCCAAGGCAAGACAATGAACTTTACTTTGGGTTCTTCTCAAAAGACAGAACACAGACCATCTTCACGGATGCATTTTCCAAACTTGACAAATTAGCTTTCCTAAGACTAACTGCTCTAGCATTGCTTGGTTTCCCCTTCTGCCTCTAATTCCATGGTGCCATAGAGCCATCCAAAAAACAAATGGTGGGTCACTCTCCCATCTCCGAACCAGGTGAGTTCAGTTTTAGATTTGTTCTGGGCATTCTTGGTAACATGGTATGCCAAACCCTGATTTCTCTTTCTTAAGACTGGCTTGAAAAACTGTCATTAACCTATCTGGTCTCCGCTTCTTTATTCTTTCATCAGATATATTACACAATACAAGTTTTCTGACTTAGAATCAGCCGAGTTAGTGTCAAAATATGGATGACAGATTAAACTATTTTAAAACTGGATGTAATGGAAGATACTGTTCCCAAGGCGGTAGTAGGAATTAGTCAATGCTTTTTCTACTACAGTTCAAAACTAATTTCATCTTAGGTTTAATACAACATATTTAATTAGGCTGAAAAATAGAATATTTCCTTCTTTTCAACAAGAGGATTTGTTATCTGGGTGGTCAGTGTTTTCTCTGGAAGCCATCTAGAAGCCTATTGGAACCCATTTGAACTTGGTTTGAGGTATGTATGGGGGTTGGGGGGATGGAGTGGGGAATGAGGTTCCACTTGTAAATAAATGATGGAGTTTATTTGAAAGAAACGAAATAAACTTGCCTGTTTGGGAATGGTTACTAGAACAGACCTGTGTTGCATGGCTTAAAAGTAGGAAAAAAAAAAAGCAAGTTTGACGGTAATTAAGTTAATTGAACTGGTAGTTGTATGTCAATTATCACAACATTAATTGATCCTACTGCTGAAGGCTCACTGCATACTTCCCAGGCAAACTTGAGGGGAGACGTCTTCCACTTATATTTTTCTACCCCTGGAAAATGTGACTTAAGAAAAATATCCTATATTTTTCAAGAAAACTATGTAGGCTCTGAATTCTAAAAATCAGGAGCAAAATTAAACTGGAAAATTCAGATTCTTACTCATTTATTTGATAAATACTGAGTGCTTATTATGTTCCCTCCACTGGAGGAACATCAGAAACATTCTTATGCATTGTGTGTGTGTGCGTGCATATATTTTCTGTATTATTATATATTTTTGTATATTATATATTGTTTATACACACACACAGATGACTGGACAGAGCGTGATGCATATTCGGCAAAGGAGTTTTTTTTTTTAAAGATTTTTATTTATTGAAAGAGAGAATATGGTAGAGAGAGAGCATGAGAGGGAAGAAGGTCAGAGGGAGAAGCAGACTCCCTGCTGAGCAGGGAGCCCGATGCGGGATTGGATCCTGGGACTTCAGGATCATGACCTGAGCCGAAGGCAGTTGCTTAACCAACTGAGCCACATTTTATCTCACTCACCAGATGTTTTTTAATCAACCGCTATTGTTGGTATGTTACACATCATACAAAACCTTCATTCTTGGGGCTCTTTGTGAATTTCATAGCGCAGGATAGAAATATCTATAGTACCTTTTCTGCCAGAGGCCCCCTCCCAGACGGGACACAACTTCTTTGCTGTGGCTGTTGCTTGCCCAGAGGTGTGTGCACTGAATGAAGGCAGGATCAGCCTGACCCAGGGTGTGTGGGGTGCGCTCTGCTTTCTCCAGGGTGGAAGCATCTATCAAACGCACGCTACGATCAGCACCCAGCCAGGCCCTCCCCCACTGCGGCAGGGGCAGCTGGAGATTGGGGCTCAGAGCCTTTTTCCAGTGCAAACCTGCCCCCTCCACCCTCACACCTTCACCAGAGGTGTTAAAGAGGCCCCGGGAACGCCCACAGGGCACCCCGCAAAGATGCCTTTCCTCGAAAATCTCGAAGCACAGGCTCAGAACACACGCGTGCAGTCTCACAGCTGGCTCATCCAATTTTGTTAACTCTGGAATTTCAGTCTGAGCTCAACCCTCTGTGAACTCCAGCTGCAGTGGTTTCTTATCTCATTTCACGGACCAGAGCGGCTTGTGTAAGATAAAATCCATCATACAACTTAACATTAGTTCAGCCCATGGAGAGGCCGATAATTTAACATTATGTTTGTGAGAGGCCCACTGTGACCGTTACAGTCAGAATAAATTTTGCCTCCTGCACGCACTCTCTACCTCTCTCCCTGCCAATATATGTTAGGGGAATGGACCTCCCAAAAGACAGCACGAATAAACCTAATGCTGATAAGAAAGCTTCCCCCCCCTTAAAAAATAACAACAAAAAAGAAAACACTGACTCCATGTACCATTTTTACCCTTTGCTGTGGACTTTCATCTCTGTATAACACAGAGCAAAGAAAACCCTTCACGATTTTGTTGTTGAGCTTACTAGCAGAGAGAACAATGTTGTTCTATCTTTCCCTCCTATTACTGATTGTTTTTCCTTCTCTTGCTTGTGGTCACTGAGTTCATAAATACACTGACTTACTGTGAGGGAGAACACACTTCAATTTTAAAAACGTATGTTTGCTCAAATGATCTGAAAATCAAATTTTCTTGTTCTTCACTCCTAGATGGAGAGCCTAAGTTCACCAGCAGATCATAGTTATTTGATAGTTTTCAGTAAAAGAAAACAGCAGTTTTAGGATTAAGCAATTGGAAATACATAATTTATTAAGTGAGCCAGCAAGAGACTTGCTCACATTTTAACAAGGGTTAAAAAATAGGTAACAGAAGTAATTGTAGGCAGAATTCCATTAGCTTAAAATAAGTATATACTTTTGAAAACTCCCAATTTCATCCTCATTTCTGAACTTTCTAAAACTGCCAGGCCAATGTGAAATTGATGTACTGACATGCAAAATAAATGTGAAGACATTAGTTAAGGCGCAATTGGTAAGTTTGGTCAATATCTGTTGCTATGTAAGAAGTGACTTCATATTAAGTAAGAGTAACCCAGCAACTCACTCTGAATGGCTACAGGAGCTATTGGGAGTGGTCATTTTCAATATCCAACTATAAATTCAATTTTGTATTCAGTGGGAAGATCACTGAGAAAACAGAAGACAATATAGAACTAATTTAAATAGGATTTAGATTGCAGCATTATTAAAGCTATTCATGTGAAAAGAAATTAACACTGCTCATAAAAATCACATCAAAGATGCAGTCATAAAAATTCCAAATACTTTCTGTGAACAAGCTTAGGCATAACTCTGAGCATGGGTGCAGTTTAGAAACTAGAATGTGCAGATGTGCTTTTTCCAGAGTAAGAATTGGGAAGATCGGTGCATTAAGGAGTGACTATGATCCATTTGCTCATTAAAAATTGTGTAGTGTTTTCTAATCAGGGTCTTCGGGATGTCACACCCAGGTTACTGCACGTTTACTCCGTGGCTTTTCTTGATTTGCATTTTCCTCTTCAATCCATCCCTCCCCCATTCCATTATAGCTCTCCCCTTTGTTAAATAAACACCAGGGCCATGCCTTTGCCTGTCTGTGCACTCATCCTAGGAAGGAGCATTCAGGTTTCTGGTCCACCCGTTGTTTCCCTCAAGATTCAGCTTCAGTGTCTTCCATGAAGTCAGCTTTTCTGTAACCCTAACATGAATTAGGTGTCCATTTGCTATGTTTCCACAACTCCCCACATAACCTGCTACTAAGACATTAGTCACTCTATACCGTAATTGCTCATTTATGGCTCGGTCTCCAGTTTTGAAGGGCTAACATGAGAATAAAACTTCCAAAACATATTTCAATCTTCTGGTCATTTCGAGTTTTTCTCTTTGCAGTTTATATTTGATTACACTATTTCTAATAGGCTTGCAGTGATTAGTGCTGAGAGCCACAAATTCAGTGGTCAGAAGTTGGGAAACATCAGATGGGAATAAACATTTCAATTTTGTGTTAAAGAGTATTTTCACAGTGTCTCTCAGAGATAAATGTTCTCCTGGCAGTTAAGCTAGCTGGTCCTTTACCTTTCAGGCCTCTGAGGTCGTTACCACTGGCAACGAAAGTTAAGAATGATGTCAGATAATCACAGAGAAGCAGAACTTTCTGCAGTAAAGCACTAACTAACCAGCTTGTCAAATGACTCAAAAATCTTTTTGAAGGCATTTTTAATTCTGGGAAAATAATGACCAACTTTAGTTTTGTGAGGAATAAATAATATTATAATGGCTAGCATCCCTCAATGTCACTACCTAAAGCCATACCCATCTCATTTCGTTTCTGTTTACTTCAGACTTCATCAACCTCTCTCCCTCTCTTTCGTGTTTCTTGGGCACCTGGCACATAGTAGACATTTAAAAAATTGCACATGGGCTAAATCTTTGCTATTCAAAGACTTAAAGCTTGAGCCTCACTTGGGAGCTCCTTGAAAATGCAGACTCACACTTACCCAGGCTTCCTGACTCAGAATCTGCATCCTACTCTAAGTGACTCATTTGCACATGAGAGTTTCGGAAGCACTGGAAGAAATCAGTCAATGGAAACCAGGGAAATTGGCTGCGAGCTCGTCTAAGTTAAAAGATAACAAAACCCTGAAATGGAAAGTAGCCGCTGAGACCGTGGAGAACCCTGAAAGGATTTGATGTGATTCTTATGAGCTTTGCGAACCCCTGGTCCTGCCCTCTCCCACATCCCTTTAAGGAACAGCTGCTTTAACACCTGCCATCCCCATCCAGGGAAAAAAAATGTCCATGACTTGGAAATGGGCATAGAGACTACTGCAGATCCTTTCAGTGAAATGCTGGCCGTGGCCTAGAGGACCCTCTCCACTGGCCTCCAGCCCCCAGAATTATCTGATTCTACAGGGGAGTGAATCTTTGTTTTTGATCAAGCTACCTTACAACTCTTTAGGGACAGAACATAAATTGTGGAGAACCGATAACAATGCAAATAATTCTCCATAACAATGTAGATGAATTTTTGTCCAGTAGAAAATATAAATTGTCACAGAGCAAATTCTCTTTTGAACCGGTTTTTAACGTCTTACTGATTCTCTCGTTAAATGAGTTAAATAAAATCGCTGGCACATGTTCATGTTATATTTGTAAGTCATGGTTCCACTGCCAGAATATCCTTTAGCCACCCTTGAACTGCAAGCTCCTCAAAGGCCAGGCCCGTGCTGCCGTCATGTCTGAAACCCCAGGGCCATGACGCAGAGCCAACGGACTCAGCAGGTGGACACAGGATGAACTTCAATCAAACTGATGAATAGATAATAAAGGGGAAAAGGACTCAAATGGGTAGGGAATTTTTTCTCCCCCTTTGTGTATGGAGGGAGATCTGGCCTTGATTTTCAGAACAATAGGTGGATGAGAGCCAGGCCATGAACACTGAATATGAAAACTTAGGTGGGCTGTAATACCCTTATTTACGGCTGGGTCTATAAAGGAATAACAGGAGAGGAGATTAATGTTTGAATAAAATGTCTTGAGAATGAGATAAAAGGAAGATGTTCTACAACACATTTTTCCCCCTAAAATGGGGATACACACACATGTACACACACATACAAAGATGAATCGTATGGATGGTGTGTTGATCTAGCTGTCACTGATTTCTGGTTTCTATGATAGCTGGGAACAGCTTACAGTGTAGAGTCACATATTGACCCAAGCAGAATGGGATTCCAGGAGAGCCAAGCATTATTCCTACAACATCCCTAAAATTTCACTATGTGTCCCTCAACATTGGACATCCCTAAACAAGTCTCCAGTTTTTGGCTCCTCAATGAACCATTAAAAGGGATGTAACCTTATCTATCCTCCAAATTACAGGTAGCAGGAAAGGTGATACAAATGGTTGAAGCACCCCTTTCCCTCCAACACACACACACACACACACACACACACACACACACACACACTCTCCCCCAACTCTGTAGTACCTGTAAAAATTAAAAAAAAAAAAAATTAAGGGGGTGGGTGGCAATATGAAAATGCACCAGTTATTCCTGCTTTTGGGTCAAGCAAAATGTTTCTAGATGAAATGGCCTGTCTTGCCTCTGTGAAGGTCAATAACGCCTAAGGAAGTGATTCTCAAACAGGCTCCTGCGCTTCTCATTTCCCTTGCCCTGAGAAGGAAGCCTGGCTTTTAGCTAATGGAACTCCCACTTGGCTTATAGTGCTATTGATTTTTACTTTCTCGGAACCATAAATATTGACAACCGTCTCAGCAAAACGCCAGCACCACTGCTACCCCCCCTCCATCGTCTGGCAGGCTGACACGGGGCCATTCTGTATGCAAATCCTAGTTTAGCCCTCCGGAAATTAGGAATGCTGATCCCAGGAGAACTGAATTCATGATGACATGCCAGGGGGATCCCAAGGGCACTGCTTCAAAGCTTTGTCAAAACTTCACCTGATGCAGAGAGAAACTCTTCATTTCATCACATAATGAAAGATTACGTGAAGCTTTTCCAAAGGGGGAAAAAGTACACAAAAACTTTTAAATGCTCTTGCCAGGAGAAATCTCCAGTGAATTAGGATATAATCTTTCTCACCGTCTAATCAATCTCTTCCTTCCACAGTCCAAACACAGGGCTCCTCCAGGGGTGGATGGTCTGTGTTAGACACGCTGAAATTCATTACCTCATCTGCCTGGTGCTACTGTTTCCAATAAAGTGTAATTATGGTGTTATTGAGCTCCTTCTCACTTTCTCAAAGCCATGCTATAAACTTTGGGTCTGTGAGCAGTTACTTCCCAGCCAGTCTTCATTCATTAAGTGGAACTGTCTCAGAACAATGTCTATTTAATCGGTATGGTGCCCGCTAATTTTCTTTTTTAGAATTTGTATTAACGTAACCAACACCACCTTAAGACACTGCATAATTACAACTTGACGTCTCCTGCGCCTTCAAGAAGGCCCAGTGGCCACTGGATCTGGGGTTAGCTGGTCTCAGGAGATCCGCCCCCTCACCCTGCCGCTGGTCCAGCTGGGTTCCGGGTCCCTCCTGGGATAGCTCGCTGCACTTTTCACACACCACCACGGGAAGTACATGGTGCTTAGTAATTGCCTCTACTGCGCTAGAAGCCTAAACTCTGTGAGGTAGGGGTGCGTGTGCTGTTGCCCACCCCCCCACCGCAGTGCTTCTTAGCACAGTTCCAGATATATGGTAAAGAGCTCCATAAATATTTGCGCAATGCTGGCGCATCCCCCCCCCCCCCCCCCCCGCCACCTCCCACCACCTCCCACCACGTCTGGTGGCACCAAAGGCCAGAAATACAACATGCTCAAAGCTCCAACTCATTGAAGAAGGGAGAAAGGAATTAAGTATTTACTATGTGCAGAGTTTTAACACCAGGCAGCATGTAGAGGGCCTTGTGGGTCATAATAAAGAGTTGGCTCGTGCAGATTTTGCTAGATAGAGCTGATTTTCAAAAAGAAAACTGCAAGAACAAGTACAATGTAAAACAGGGAAAAATGTTTGTAATAAACCTAAGATAGCATGATTTCTCATGGGAGGAAAAAAAAAATCAAATTCAATTAGGTATTTTCAGATCGTATTTCCATCATCTTTTTTACTCAGGCTTCTTTACCTTGGGTTTTGACTGCATTTTTTTGTTTTTTTATCCCCACATCAATAAAGTCATCTTCAGGGAAGCAGTTTCCTTGGCCCCTTCAGTCTGGCTTTGCAGCATTATAAGGAGCATGGAGTAGATTTCCTCTCTGACGCAGCCAATTTCCTACGCAATTAAATGCTGTTTATATTCCAAACTCTGTGCTTGGGTTGAAATTCTCAAGCTTGGTATTACTTGACTGGTTGCCTGCGCTGTATGCCTAGCTAGTTCATTCTACTGTAACTGCCATCTATTAAATTTTCCAATCTGTTCTCTCAACGGATCACACAGTACTTGGCGAAGGTGCAGCTCCTAAATTCTTCAAATTATACTCATCTATATAAATATATATATTTTTGAAATGGCAAAGCTTGCAAATTACTTCACCCAATTGACATCCCAATCTGTGACCCTCCCACAGCAAAGGCAACGCCATGTTCCTCTTAAGTGCATAGACATTTCTGTGCTGGTTCCTTAAAAAGAATAGGAGGACGCCAAACTTTTTGTGAAATCCCTCCAAGAGGTCACAGAACCAAGGCGCCAGTTTTTGTCATGTCTAAGTGGAGCGTGGAAGCCGATAATGCACAATGTGCAGGATATTAAAGAAAAAACGACTTGTTGCAAAATCAACATTCCTGGTTGAGGATGTTGCTCTTTCTCACTCTGGCCACTCCTTATGATTTGTAGCCTGAATGGAAAAGGAGATCATGCCTGTGTTTGCCTTTCATGTGCTTTTTGTTAAAGGGACACCCATGGCTTATGTACTTATGTCTGTAAGACAGGCCCTCCCAGAGCAGCGGAACATGGGCCGTTGGCAAAAAAGCCCTCGGTAGTTACAGTGGGGAGCTTTCAGCCACAACGGCAGCTGATTAGGGGCTCCCAAGGCCTGGAAAGGGCACGAGCGCTAGAAGCAGAAGTTCTTTTTAAAAAGAATTCTCTTTTAAAGAAACAGAACGTCAACCTCCTATCCTCCTAAAATAGGTTTTGGGCAGCTTTCACACATTTCATTTAGTGAAAGCATCCGATCAGTTTACACGCTGCCAGCAATATACTAGCTACGCTCTAAAACACGCCAAGGATCAATCACATCTCTTTTCTCATCAGAAATCTTTAATGGTTTCTCCACTGCTTATGGAGTAAAACCCAAATCCAGGGGCAGCTTTCAGGGCCCGACCATCTGGCCCCAAAATGCTCTTCCAGCTCCACCTTGCTCTATAAACTTCCATGCCGGTCTCATGTGCGCTGGAACAGGCCCCTTGCCCTTCCCCTCCTGTGCCACCTTCCTCTCTGCTTCCTTGCGTCTTTTTTCCTAGGGCTCCGGCCTCTGACCGGCATGTCTTTAAGGCCCTTCTTCTTCTGGGAAAGAAAAACCTTGTTTATCCTGCACAGTTCTCTTCTGTGAAGATTTTCTCGATACCTTCATCAACACTTGCCCCCGTGTTCCCAAAGCACGTTGCTCCTATGTTGCTTGACAGTCATGCCATTGGCTTTGTACTACCTGAGACACCTGGGTGTGGCCAGCCACTCTAACCTGATGCGCCCAATGGCGCTAGGAAGGTCTGACCATCGTTTGCCCGTAAATGCAGGTGCTGCTCAGATTCCGTGACTCTGCTCAATAGTAGGAGAATTCACACATACACGTGATCCCGAGGTAGAATCTGGCCCCTCCCTCCCCAATCATCTGCTGTTCACTGGGGCAGGTACTAAAGCCTCCATATAGCTTTATCCCCCACAGCATCAAACATGTGAAAGGAGCACAGCAAACTTTAAAGAAATGAAATGTACTCCTTTTTATTCCTACTTATTCTGTAGGTGTCAGCAGTGTCTCTTCAACGCCAGCTCTGAAGGAAGGGATGATCCCTTTCTGAATTTCGCTTCTACCCTCCACAGACCCCAGCGCCATTTCCCATGTGTATGAAGGGAGGCTTTGAGAAGGGTCCAGGTAGGTGGAAACTCCAGGAGCTGGAGGCACACACCAGGACCCGCCTGCCCACGGGAGATGCCAGCCTCGCTCAGTCAACACAGGTGCGAAGACAAGAGCCCGCGCCAGGGCTACTGCGCATGACTCACCCGCCCCTCTTTCCACAAGCCGTGTTGAGTGGCCGTACACGCGCGTGCATGGAGCACAGCGGCGGGAAGGGGCAGGGCTCTGTCCCGACAGCAGGAGGAAGCCCAAGCGGCCCCTGCGTCCGGGTGACCTTGCCCGCAGGCACTCAGCACGCGGAGGGACGGAGACGTCTGGGGCGTTGTGGGGTGGGGTGGGGAGGGGGGGTGAATGGCGGAGTTTCTCTGGGAGCGGGCCGTGCCTCCCGCCGGGGCAGAGACGCGCGGGCAGCCCCCTACCTTTCAGCTTCTCGGCCAGCAGCGCTGCCTCGTGCTCCGAGTAGTGCATGATGGCCGGCGGCGAGGGTGGCCGCAGCCGGTCTTCCTCCAGCTTGCGCCGGTGCCGCTCCTCGCGTGCGCGCATCCGCTGCTTGCATTCCCACTCGTAGAAGTCGTCCCTGGCCTGGGCGAAGTCCACGTGCAGGCGGCCCGAGTCCTTTTTGTCCGTGCTGGACCCTAATCGCATCCGGTAACCTGAAAGCAACGGAAAGGCCAGTGGCGTCACAATGTCACCGCCAAGATGACCACACCGTTTTGTCCAGGCCCTCAAGGCACCCTGGGGGTGGGGGGAAGGGGGCTTTCGCCTATTTCTTTCTTTCTTTTCTTTTCTTTTCTTTTTTTTTTTTTGCCCAAAGGGGTGGGAAGCAATTACCCTTCTCCCCAGTGATAAGGAAGTACTGCCAAGTTCAGCTTATTACGGATTTGGAGATAAACACACTTCTGGGAGGTGTCTCGGACGGGTCACCTACCCATCTTTCAAGCCAATGTTACTAAGAGGATGACCTCAAGAACCAGGGCACTTACCATAACTCTTCCCTCTGGCTTCCAGGAAGCTCGGAAACAAATTTGGCATGTAGCATTTTCCCCTCTCTGCCTTTCTATGGCCGTGGTGTTATATTTTCAATTTACGGTAACTCTGTTGCATAAGTGTTCTTAAACTCTTTTTCGAAAAAGGCAGAGTAGGGGTAAATAAAGAATATCTATGGTATTTAAAAAGACCTACAAAGTAAATTCCACAACACCTCACTCACAGGTTATTGCTTCATTCCCCTAGAAAATGCTGCTCCATTCTCCCTCAGCAGCTGCAAAAGCCACAATTACCAAGGCAATTCTGCAAGGCTGTTTTATTTCCACTTATCCTCTGGGGCACACAGGAGAATATTTTACCTTCAATCAAGAGGCCTCACCGCTGCCTTCTTGCAGCCCTGCAGCACCTCATCTGGCATGCGGCACCACACAAATTGTCCACGCAATCTTTGAAGGCCACGGGAGCCTGTACAAGAGCACAGAGCTGGACCAAAAAAAAAAAAAAATGGGCCTGGAAACCTTTGGGGGATTTACTGCGAGCTACCCAACTTATAAAGATGATGTGCAGAAACCTGATCTGAGCAATCAACACAAACAGAACTGAAACCAGATAGCCAGCCTCACTTCAAAATGAAGAAGGCTTGGCTTTGAGGCTGCTCTTCGGTTTGGGGTACTCAGATTTTAAAAACATAAATTCAGGTCCCAGCAGGATCACAGCTGTCGGGGTTGCCAGAGGAGAGAGCAAAATGAGCACTTTTGCCACGTAGGGGCTTTGCAAATGAGATACCACTGTGAGATGGTAGGCTGCACTACACTGATGTTCAAGATCTCCGTGCTAGATTTCAATGGATTATCTCGGCATCTGGGTTGAAACTCCGCTGAAAAATCCCTGCAGAGGCTGACTTCTTCCCTGTAGGGCACTTCACACCTTTGAGAAGTTACAAATACAAGACAGATCTCACATCTGATTCCTGTTATGCCCTTCTCACTACTAGGTTTAAATGATGTTCTCTAAAAATAGGAAGATACAACAATACCTATCAAAAACGCAAACATCCGATCACATATGAGCAGAATTCATGCTAAAGCAGAGCGTATCTTGGTTCTGGGCCATAGAAACTTAACAAGTCAGCAGGCCATGGTGACATACACTAACAGCTGAGCAGGCAATGCCGTCTAAGGCTGCCCAGCGGCCCTAACTGGCCAAGAATCTTTCTTCTGCTCGTGTCCAGAGCATCACTTTTCAGATATTTCTGGTTCCAAAAAGTACCCTCTCGTTCACCAAAACATCATTAAGGCCTTAAAAGAGATCCTGATGAGGCTGAGTCTAAAATTAGCTTGGCCTTCAACTGTGAACACAGTCCTAAAATTAGGCCTTCCAGCTGGGTATGGGCTTGTAGGAGCTCACACACAGGATGGGCAGCCTTCCTTCCCTCCTGCCCCTCTAGTTAATCAGTCTTTCAGATCTTCCCTGGACTGATGTACAACCTCCCCAGGGTGGCTGATGGCTGTGCCACCTGGAGGTGAGGCCTTTGCTGTGGGTACCTGGCTCAGAAGTGGGACCAGGATCCTGGTTGGAAAGAGCCTAGCGTCAAGGAATAAAGACAGGAATACCTTTCCCGTGCCTAAATTTGGGCCTATTCATCTTTGGCGATATCTCACGGGGTTTCTGATTGTGTCTAAACGTTGTGTTACGTTGGAGCTGAAGAGCACTTTTGATCTACTCTAACCCTCTCGTTTAATCAGGTGGAGTAAAGAAATAGTTTTATGGTTGAGCCGTGGTTACAGTCCAGGTTCCCTGGGGCAGGTCTGTGAAAAATGAGAATCAGTCTTTCTTTACCATCTTCAGGATATTTGTGTTAGAAACATCCATTTGCTGAATGGTTCCTATTGTTGCAGGTGCCCTGCTAAGTACTTAATATCCATCATTTTGATTCATTCCTCATAATAATCCTATGAGTTAGTACTGTTACTACCTCAGTTTCGCAGATGAGAAAATGGAGGCCAGAGAGAGGTTATCTTGCCTGAGGCATGTGAGACCCAATGCCACGCACGCGACAGAATCCCCAACTGTGTAATAGATTACTCTGATGCTAAAGCCCAAGAATACATGACAAGTAAAACACATAGCTATTTGTGTGTTGTAAAATATTTTTTCTATGTTTCGTCTTCCATCTCTATTTTAGAATGCTTTCAGGTCCCCCTCCCCACCCTTTGTAAGGTTTTATTGGAATAAGGGCTTTAAAGTTCTCCGTAGCACTACCTGGGCTCAGGAAAGTTGCAGCAGTGCTGGAATAACCCCAAGGCTTCTGGAGTTTGCAAGGGAATTCCATGGCAATAAGAGCTGCCTGCAGAAAGTAAGTAAGCCTGGCAGTAGCATTCAGAGTTGTTGTGTTTTTTTTCTATTCTTTTCTCACCTTCCCTCATTAGCTTTGCCTCAGAATAGGGAGGTGGTGTGCCGAGTGACAGACTGAAACATGCAGAAGGAGAGCATGAGGGAATGGCAATGAGTTGATTCTAAGCGCACATTTCCCTAAGACCACATACCAATACCCGATCTATAGTTCTCAAATTTGGCAAAGGCCTCGAGGACAGCCTCCGTGCACTTGCCCCAACACCCACAGGCAGCACTGGGTCTAATTTCAACATCTGTAAAAATCTCCCTATCAGTTGGCACCAGAGAAGCAGGTATCCTGGGGTAGGCTTTCCCCTCTAAATGCACTAGCAATTGGGCAATGATATCAGGCCTTCCCCTAGGACCTACGGACTACTTTCTGCAAGGAAACTGATCTTGATTTGGTACCCTGGGGTCTAGAAAGTGAACCACTCTGAAAAACTGAAATTATGCCAAGAGAGTATTTTATTCCCCCAGAGAATTACATCCAATAATAATAATGGTCCTCAGTATTCATAATATTGCTTTTTATCTAATAAGCACTTGAGAACATTAATTAGAAACTCGATGGAATTCCTGAAGACTGGTAGTGGGAAACCCTTCCTGCCGTGAGGTGCACTCACAGACTTAACATACAGCTTCTGGCAGCCAGGGCAAAAGGCAGAGGTCCTCCTTTTCCATCCCCAAACTGTGAGGACTTTATTGTGCGTTAAGGCAAAAGGGAAATAAGCTCTTATTAACATCACAAAACATAACAAAAATGCCTCGAAAACCCCTTATGTAATGCAAAGTACCGGAAAGGTAAATGGCTTTGTCAACCATGAATTCCTCTGCAAATCGAATGTGACAAAAATTCTTCTTGCTTTTCCGAATGGCTGTAATATCACCGCACTGCTCAAAGACTTCTTGAATAATTTCCTCAGTAGCATTTTCTGGTAATCCTCCGACAAACACGGTCTTACACCCAGGAGGTCGTTCTCTTGTGGAAGGTGGTGGAAGATCTAATAGTCACAACAGAAACAGAGGGGTGTGCCTTTTATTTCGTTGCCCTCTTCCTGGTTCACCTGGCGAAAGTGAAACTCGCAGAGTAACTTTCTCCACTCGAGTCGTGATACGTGTCTACACCGACTCACACTGATGTTTTTACTTCCTCTCCCCTCCTCCTCCCAACCTTTACTTTCTGTGGTCCTTTCTACACAGGGTGGCTAAGCTTGTCCCTGAACAGAGATAAAGCCAATGTTAGCATAATTTCATTTCCCCTTAATAATACAGAAGCCCAGAAAATGGGGGGAAAAAAACTTCACAAAGTACAAAGCATGATGAGGTGACAACATGATGGAAAACTTGGGCTTGCTATCTGCTTTGTCTTGCTGCGGGATAACGGATCAGCAAGGCAGAGAACAGGACCTGTAAACATGTGTAGTACTTGCTGGGCTGGGGAAACACCGGGGCCTGAAAATACCACTTTTTTTTTTTTTATTATTCACATTTAAATGAGCCAATGATTACATTTGGGGGAGGCTGTAGGAAAAGGTAAAAGGTACACTGTCACAACATTTTACCTAGTTTATATGTAGATTACTAAAGCAGTCTCCTGAAAAGTCCACTTCAAAAAGGCAACACTGATTAATATGAATAAAAAAAAAAATACTAGCTATTTAAGCCCATAAACTTAGTATCTGAAACTAAATTAAAAAAAAATTCTGGCTCATTTATTTCATCAAATGTATGTTTCCTTCAAGCAAATGCCATTTGGCCCAGAAACTCTGAGATGTGGGCTCCCCCCAAAATTGCTAACTACCAAATTAATTCAATTTTCCATCTAGCAAAGCACATTTCAGAGTTTTTCTCCCACATTTGTGAAGATGGATAGAAATGCTCACATATTTCACACTATGTTCTGCAGCAACTGCTAGACTTCATTGCATGCAAAAAGATTCTTAATGCTGGGGATGTATCCCCACATCACATATACTGGCTTCACGGTGTCAATTCAGCTCCTGGATAGAACACATGGACACAGCCCCATACATTTATGCTAATCTAGAGACAAAAGCATCATGTCGAATGGATCCCCACTTTGTGCATCCATGTGGAAGAATTTTCAGTCACATCTGAAAGTGCACGCAATGCTACATAAAAAAAAAAAAAAAAGAAAAGAAATTTAAATTGAGGAGCAGACAGTTCTCACAGGTACCACTTACTTGGATTTTGAGG